CGCACGAAGCACATCGATGTCAGATTTTACTTTGTTCGTGACGTTTTGGATGATGGAGACATCAGGTTGGAGAAGATCCACACGAAAGATAACCCTGCGGATATGTTGACCAAAGTTGTTTCAGGAGTGAAGTTTGGTCATTGTTTGGAGCTTTTGAACATTCTTCGGTGTTGAGGTATTTAGAGGCCATTTGGGTGAACTACGTAAGGCTTGATTCTTTGGGCAAGAGAATACGTAGGCAGTCTTTACGATGCAGCCGGGTTGGATTTTGACGGGGGTGAGACCGATTTGGTGAGTAGACACTATTGTTTTGGGTGAGTGTTCGCACTCCCGTTTGGATCTCGACTTGTTGTGGAAGGAGTCCGTTGTCGTGAATTATTTCACGGTATACTGGACACAACAAGTGGGACATTTGGATGCTTTGATGTCGGCTCAGTTTTGAGAAAACTTCACCGAGGTGGAGAATTGTTGGATAGCGACGTGTGGGAGGCTAAGGCGGTTTCAAAGCATACAGTTTCAAGCATGTGGGGACCACACGAGTAGAATTCTCGTGATAGTTGCAGACGCGGTTTCTTAGCGTGTGGGGTCCACCCGAAGACAATGTGTATAAAGGAGCAAATGTTTTTCCCTAGGGTTCGGTGCAAGGAGCTTTTTTGTGAACTTAGTGGCTGCGAGAAAAATTGCGGCTACAGGTGCAGAGGTGTGCGGCTTCGGAGAAAAATCGCGTGAGTAGGGGAGTTTTGACAGCGGCGTGCAGAGCCTTTTGTGTGGCTATTCTTTGGATTTTTTGCAGCTGTTCTTTGTTTGTGCATCCCCTTTTTAAGAGAGATTTTGTGTGAGGGATCTGAGAGTTTATGTGAGGGTTTAGATTGAGTGATTGTAAACCCTAGTTGTATCTCTCCCTCTAATAGTAGATCTCCCCCCTCCTTGCCCCGTGGACGTAGGCTATTTGCCGAACCACGTAAAAGTTATGTTCTTGCCGTGATTTATAATAGCTTGTAGGATCCCTCGATAAGTCAGTCCTAGAACTGCTGAGAGGAAGAGCCGATATCTCACTTTGTTGAGATATTCGCTTCAGATTCTTGTTTCCTTGGTGAGACGAGAATTCTTACGATCTAATATCTTGTTGTGCACCTTGCGCACCGGAGGTGCTGCCGAAATTTCCGCTGCGCACAACAGAGACTTCATGCTTTCTTTCAACAATATTTCTTGCTCAGATTGAAGTGACTAGCAAGAGGTTTACTAACAGGTTTCACATTCTTAATATTGAACTTTCTCGAATACCTTCTCAATTATCTCTCTTGTGAGAGCTACAACTTCTTTTTGATTTTCTATCTTGAGAAATGAGCGTGCTCAAGATTTGCTTGGCCTAACACGTCTTTCATCTTACACAACTTGGACAAATCTTCTTTCAATTTTCTGATTTTGCTGTCATCTTGTCCTGCATGATCATATTATGAACATACAAAAGATGAAAAAAGAATTTACCTTTAGGGAAATTGCATTTCTAGAATCAATGTAATCTTAATTGATTGACTTGGTGCATGAAGTTTGAGAGAATTTATTTAGGGTCAGTTTGGTATTGCTGGAGCTTATAATAACTTGTTTATATAAGTAGCTTATAGAAGAAACTTATATAAGTTATTGAAAATAGTCATTTGGCAATCATATATCAAAAGCTACTTCTAAAAATAGTTAAAGTGTTTTGGTAAACTTGTGCTTAAAGATCATTGTCAAAAGATAAAGTTTATATATAGTATATAAACTAAAAAAAACAGAAGCTGCTTTTAAAAGCATCTTGAGATGACTTCAAAAAGCACCTCTTCAAGAGCAGAAGTCATTTCAGTAAGGATGCAGAAGAAAATTTCACCAAAACACTATTATTGACCGTTTCTCAAAAAATAAGCAGAAGCACTCAAAAAGAAGCAATACTAAACTGGTCCTTAGTGGTTGAAACCTCCTTTCCAGATGCACAAGAAATAAAAAGGTGTTGCGTAACTATTAATTGACATTGGGAATTAAGTCGGTGCATTGATTTGACTAGATGGTCAAAATGAAGGCTGCAAGCTCAAAGGCAAATACTATCCCTATATAAAAGCCCATTGAGTGTGAGTTTGGGGGGAAACAGAAATAAAAACAGGGAACAATGTTCTCAAAAGTGAAATTATGAGATTTCTGGTAGGATGTAGATAAAGAGCAAAAAATCCAGCCTTTGTTCAGTGATTTCCAGGAATTTTGTTCAGATTTTCCTTGGACATACCCAGTGTATCTTTAAGGAGATGCTTCTATTGTCATTTTTCTCCACTGTTGTAAGACAAAGTAAAGGGCACCAATTTCGGCTGTTATAATTGGGATTTCCCCCATGGGTTTGCTCTCTGCACTGGAGGCTTTTTTCCATCTTGTGTCTAGCTGTCTTTCTTTTACTCTTCTTTTATCTTTCAAGCTATTTTATTTTATTTCTATTTATCACTCAAGGCGGTGGAATGGTTCAGTTTTAAATCGCAACAGATGTTAGTCAAGATGGAAGACTAGATGTGTGTTTTCACATGTTCTTGCAAAGTGGAGAGTCATATTTCTTAGAGGTTCAAATTCTACATCTGTGGTTTAATAAATAAAATTGTTGTCCTCGAATCAGATGAGAAATTTATTTGTTTACGTAAGTGTTCAACTTATAAGATTTTCCAGTTGTCAGAAAAGGAAAAAAACAGTTATACCTCATCCCTAACTAAAAGCATCTAAAGTGACTAGGAGTTTTTTTTTGGGTATTGATCCTTTTTCTCTGTGAATCAATTAAATTTTCTTCACTTGGGTAGTTATCTGGATGTTTTGTGCAATATATATATCGTGTGCACTCATTGAATTGAGTAGAATGCCAATAGAATGAACTGAAGCAGGGCCAACTGATTGACGTTAATTCACTGACTTTCTAGTTAGTGGAGCTAACTGTAATTATGTCCTGGATAATTACTTTCCAGTGATTATGCTGTACAAAACTTAGTGAGAACTGTCTTCGAACTAGAAAATTATTTTCTGTGGGCACAATCAAAGAAAACAGGCGAGAAGAAACACGCACACAAACAAGCTATATGTATCTTTTGTGTCTATGTCAATGCACCCTCTTTCTTCCCTGTTGGTGAAAATGGAACATTGTGATGCCAATTCAAATGTGCTGCTTTAATTGTATTGAGAAATGGTCATATTGACAGTTTGTCTGTTAACTTGGTTGTTTTATAAAGAATTGATACCTTTTCGTGGAAGGGAAAATAACTTAACTTTTTTACCATTTCAGATTCCTGTCACTCATGTTTCATTTATAACCGTTATAAAAAAAATCTGCTCCAAATTACCCTTTGAGTTGCCTGTGTGTGGCATGAGCTAGTTCTATACAAAATCTCACGTCCACTCTCGTTCTTTAGATTAATTTTAAGAAGAAGGTTACATCTTCACGTTCGAGTTTCTTAAAGACGATGAACATGCACGGTATGTTAGCATATTTGCTCAATGCTCATTACCCATCTTAACCTTACTTATCCTTTACATCATGAGAGTTATCTACCTTAACCTTATTTTCCTTTGTATCATGACAATTAAATCATTGGAAAATGTGAGATAAAGCTATTCTGTTGAAAGTTAAATTAGTGTACATGTCTGATTGAATCAGCTTTTATCTAAATTTATTTTATGACCGCAAAAGTTTTTTGCTAGAGGATGAATGTTCTTTCACTAATGGTCCATTAATTTAGTCTCTTATTTGTATAGCCTTTATGTATGAGGGTGAAATGAGTTATTTAAATGAATATGAGGGCATACAGTTGACTTGCTACCAAGGTTTTAAATATCGGTTGTCGGGGATTTATCGGACGGTCAAAATCTATATCGGATAGCGGATATTGGGGATATATTGGGGATAAGTAGTATATATCGGAGTGACATTACTGGACGGTGATATATATAATATAATGTTCTAAAATACAGTAAAATGCAATCTAACCATACTTAATGAAATATAAACATACCAAAATGTAAATAATTAAGTTTAGGATCAATAACCAATGGTGGAAACTCGTGTTGGGTCGGGTCGGGTTTAAAGTGCATTGAATAGGTGTCTATTGCCCGAAATCTAAACTCAAATCAAAGGCCGATAATTCCGATTTTTGGGCCGACAATATCGACTGATAACTCAACTTTATCGCCACATTATCGGTGATAAACATCCAAAAATGACAACTAATTTAGTATCAAACTTATCATAGCGGAAGGCCTCCAAAACATTACTTGCCACTCATGGAATTATGTATGTTTAGCGTGTGAACTGCTGAGAACAGCTCCTATAGTTGTTTTTCTTTTGCTCTTCAGATATTTGACTGCTTCGGAGAGTAATGAAACCAGAACCTAAAAGAAATATCTAAATCTGTAATTCAAAGTGATTGGCTGATATTCCTCCTAAGAGTCCAAAGTTGAACAAGGTCCATTATCAATGAAGAAAGGAACAGTAAGAGCACTCCTAATTCTAGTATGCGGCTAAAGTATATAGAGGTAGCTTGTGCGCTCAGTGATGCTATATAAGTTGAACTTTGCTGGTTTGTGCATATTAAAAGTTCATAATGAAGTTCTGCAAGCCAAATCATGGTTCTGGTCTATTGCTCTAGTTCACATACATGTTAAAAATAATAAATCTTGAACAGATACCTGTTTAGTTTCTCCTGAAACAATTCTCTTTTTATCACTGAAGTCCTTCCTATGACTATTACATCATGGCTGTCATATGACTATTTTGTCTAGTTACCCTAATAATTTTCTCATCAAATTAACCAGTAAGCAACAGTTTCTTTCTTAACATTTACAGTTTACCATACACGACCATAATAAAAAAAATTCTGCAAGTTTATGTTTCATGAATCTACACCTTGTTTTGTCAGAACGTTGAAATTGTATTATTTTTATCCGCATTCTTAACATCAAACATTTACAGTAAGTTTAACAACATTTTAAATACACAGGGATCAGTAGTCTTCCCAGTGGGAGAGCCAGGGCCACAAGCATCAAACAATGGAGCATCACCCCCCGTCAAACTCCTCTCAAACGTGGAGAAGCTGAGGCTCCTAACAAAAGCCGAGAAGGCTGGACTTCTGTCTGCTGCTGAGAAATTCGGCCTCTCTTTATCCACAGTAGAGCGATTAGGTCTCCTCTCAAAGGCAGAAGAGCTCGGCGTTTTATCAGCAGCCACTGATCCTGGAACCCCCGGAGCTCTCCTGAGCCTAAGTCTTGTGTTTCTAGTCCTGGGACCTGCTTGTGTTTATGTTGTGCCTGAAGAAAATGCTTTGGAGATAGCTTTGCAGGCTGTCGTTGCTTCGGTTTGTGTTTTTGGGGGATCAGCTGCATTTGCTGCTTCCAATTTCGTGTCAAACTTGCAGAGATCAAGTTGAGCTTTGCAACAGGAGACTGACGGTTGCATGTTTTGTTAGTACTGGTTTGTACTAATGAGTATTACTATGTCTTCTTTCCATTCACTTCTGTTCCTTGTAAAAAAAGCTATAATTATTTTAAACAAGATGTCGTTCGTTCCATTTTTAGAGCTTCAGATATTCCATGTGTTGGTTGTGGCTTGAATACTGATCAGAAGCTCTGTTTGATGCTGGGCAAATTTTTCTTAGACGCAGGCATTTGTCTGGCGACGTCTTTGAATCGAGTTCTAAAAGAATCAGAGAGTTATCACTTCTTTTCTGGTCTCTCGGATACGTATGGACATTTGAAATACAGAATTCAGTTAAATTTGAAACTGTTTGGAAATCTAATATAGCAGAATGAGACCTCACTGTGTCGAATGCGGCAGAATTAGAAATCTTCGTGGTTTCTTTGTTTATCAACATTTGTTCGTGCCCCCCCCCCCCCCCCCCCCCCACCCCTTACAGTGAAAAATAAGAACTAAAACAGAGATCCACAAACATGATCCTCAAAAGGGAAAAGGGTCTAAAAACAAAGAACAAATACAGCTAACCTGTTACAGGCCATCAATCCAATTTTTGAACATACAAGGAAATGGCATTGTGATATATGATAGCAAGTACAGGGAATTTAATAAACTCAACTATCCTGTCAAGGGTTCTTCTTTGGTCTAGATAGCAGCTTCTACTCCTTTCCAACCAAATTATATAATACTAAAGCTGCATCTGCAAATATAGTCTTCTTCACCAACTTGTTATAAGCAGTGAAGGATCCAACAATTTATAATAGTGGCGTCACAATGGATATATGAACGATATTACTAATTTTTCTCTTACATTAAATATAACTGGAAGTTTAATGAGATAATATAATTACAATTGACCAGTCGCTGCGTAATAGCCTCATTTTCAAAATACTACTAAATACATCCTTTTCGAAATAAGTTATAAATTGTGGTTCATCCACTTTGTTACCTCTCTCTTCTTTTTTTCCGCCTTCTTAACATGCGGTATCTTGGAATTGGGCTTTTTAAATTAATTGGTCATCTGCATACATGATCACTTGGACTTGGGCTATTAAGAGTTAATGGTTCACTCATTGTTTTAAATGGTGTCATTTTGTAATCAAATCATAAATTGAAGTATGTTTTCTTTTTGCAATTTCATTTTTTTCATGCATGGTGTCAGTTTGCAATTAAGAGGGCGGTGTCACTTTACGCCACTCTCTCACGTGCACCTCAGCCCCTGGTCTTAAGCACCACCCTCTAGTGACTAGTAAACCAATCCATCACACTAACCCAATCACTCTTAAATATAGAGGAATTGAGAGAAGTTGATATTATTCTCATTATGATAGGGTAGTATGTACAAGCACAAGGGTATGTGGTTTAATATCTCAAGAATGTGGGACTAAATTAAGTGGTCTGTGCAAAGAATAATATATACTAATATACTATGTATAAAACATAGGAGTAAAACAGATGGGCCGGGATGGTTTTCATCAAATCTTTGAGCATAGCGCGCCAGTCTCAGGATATTAAGCCCTTGTTAAATCTGACGATCCTGCACCGCCTCGGGTTATTGCCTGTTGTAGGCGTATAAAACTGCCTATAGGTCCCTTAACACAGCTCGACAACGCCGATTCGACGAACCGACCATCGGGCGACGTATGCAAACACGATTGTTAGTTCACAACGCCGAAGCCAAGCGATACGCGACGAAGCAGATTAACGAGGCTACGAAGCTAATGAACCGCACGCAAACAACGGAATAAACCCACTCGCGTGCGGAATCAAGCTAACGGGTTGAAGAGTCAACGAGTCATCTAACCAAAGGCGGACTCGGACGAATCACGATCGAATCAAGATCAGTTTCGGACTCGAACTCAGAAGTGGATTTACTGCCAAATTAGGAATCGGATTTACTGCCAAATCAGGTCAACAAATCAGAGTCTAAATCAACCACACAACCGAATCACGGACAGACCCGAAAGACGGAAAACGACGGAACCCA